TTGGAACCACATAAACATTTAAACTCCGGATTTTGATTTTGAATTCTATAATCTAAAGTTAATTCTGTATTTTTAGATGGCTTGGGTACATGAACCTCCATTTTTAAGGGGGCAAACTAAGCATACAATGCAATTAAGTCCAATTAAAGTAGTCAAAGCTCCAGATGGTACCCTAAACCGTGCCGCTCTTGCAGGTGCCTCATTAGCGAAGGAGCGAAGAGAATTACGGTAAGTACTTGATCTAATATTTATTTTGTATTTAATCTTATACCATATATATATATATGTATGATATTTGTCAGTATTTTGATCAACTAATCAAATCATGAGGATAATGCAAGGTAAAAAAAAAATATATTCGTATGCTAATGTCAGGATAGTGTCAGCTAGATTAGTACTAAAAGAGAATAAAAATCTGGAGGGCTACATTTATTGTTATTTGCGCACGTGTTTTTTTTATTTAATTTTTATAAAATTCGCACATGATTTTTTGAATCTAATCGTTGATCAGAAACTGACGATATTTCGACATGAGTTTGATTCTAATTTTTAAATTAATTCATTATCTTTTAGTACGCAGCAAGCGAATGCAGAATTAGATTCAGTCCCAAAAGATATAAATATCCCTTGGTTAGATCCGATGCCTGAACCAGGTGAACGTCATTTTGCTCAAGATTTAAGAGGAATTGCTGCTGGTCGCAAGGCTGGTGAAGTACCCGAATGGAAACGAGAAACTTTCAATAAAGCAACCAGTTTTGGCAAGGTCACATCATTATCCATTCAAGAACAACGACAGAGCTTACCTATATATAAAATGCGTACACAACTGATTAGTGCTATTAAAGAGGTACGGAATACTTTCATTTAACGTTTACGTAAACACATATTCTTAATGGGTGCTAAGGAATATTTTTTTCGCATTAGAATCAACAACTAATTATAGTAGGTGATACGGGGTCAGGAAAAACAACACAAATGACACAATACCTTGTTGAAGAAGGATTCGCAGCTCGTGGCAAAATCGGATGCACTCAGCCTCGTCGTGTTGCCGCAATGTCAGTGGCGAAACGTGTAGCTGAAGAAGTCGGTTGTCGATTGGGAGAAGAAGTCGGTTATACCATTCGTTTTGAGGACTGTACTAGTCCAAATACACAAATTAAATATATGACTGATGGTACATTACTCAGAGAATGTTTACTGGATCCTAATTTAACCCAATATTCTGTTATTATTTTGGATGAGGCACACGAAAGGACTATAAACACAGATGTGTTATTTGGTTTACTTAAAAGTGAGTTATATCGCTTGCTTAATAATTAAGCTTATATTATAATTACATTTCATCAACTAATTGTTCTTAATTCTAATAATGTAGAAACTCTTAAGAATCGACCAGAACTTAGAGTAATTGTTACTTCAGCTACATTGAATGCTGAAAAATTTTCAAAATACTTCTATAATTGTATGATTTTCACTATTCCTGGCCAAAACTTCCCGGTCGAGGTTCTCTACACCAAAGAACCAGAAACTGATTATTTGGATGCTGCATTGATTACCGTCATGCAAATTCACCTTTCAGAACCACCAGGTGATATTCTTCTTTTTTTAACGGGTCAGGAAGAGATTGACACAGCGTGTGAAATTCTTTACGAGCGTATGAAAGCCCTCGGCCCACAAGTTCCAGATCTAGTGATATTGCCAGTGTATTCCGCTTTACCAAGTGAAATGCAATCCCGTATTTTTGAACCTGCACCTCCTGGCAGTCGTAAAGTAGTTATAGCGACAAATATAGCAGAAACTTCAATCACTATTGATGGTATCTACTATGTTGTAGATCCAGGGTTTGTAAAACAAAATGCATATGATGCTAAAGTCGGAATGGATTCTCTTATTGTGACTGTAGGTATTCTCATTAATTAAAAAATCAATGTTTAATATTTATTCATCCTTATTAACTTACTTTTCTTAGCCTATCTCTCAAGCACAAGCAAGACAGCGCTCTGGCCGTGCAGGTCGTACAGGACCTGGAAAGTATGTTTTATAATTGTAAAAAAAAAATGATTTTTTTCAATATTACATTATGAATACTATATAATGACACACTTTAATACTATTTAGATGTTATCGACTTTACACGGAGGCTGCATATAGGAATGAAATGCTTCCAAATCCAGTACCTGAAATTCAGCGAACAAATCTCGCCCATACCGTGTTAACACTCAAAGCTATGGGAATTAACGACTTATTACATTTTGATTTCATGGACCCTCCACCTGTTCAAACACTTCTTACTGCGTTAGAACAGCTTTATGCTCTTTCCGCCTTGGATGATGAAGGCCTGTTGACAAGATTGGGTCGTAAAATGGCAGAATTTCCTTTGGAACCGCCACTATCAAAGATGTTGATTCTTGCAGTTGATCTTGGTTGTTCTGATGAGATTCTTACAATAGTCGCGATGCTTTCTGTTCAAAACGTCTTTTATAGGCCTAAAGAAAAGCAAGCCATTGCTGACCAAAAGAAAGCAAAATTTCATCAACCTGAAGGGGATCATCTAACTCTTTTGACTGTCTATAATGCATGGAAAGCTAGTAAATTTTCGAATGCTTGGTGTTTTGAAAATTTCATTCAAGGGCGAAGCATGAAACGGTGTCAAGATATTCGCAAACAATTATTGGGTATCATGGATCGATATAAACAAGACATTATTTCGTGTGGTAGAAATTATAACAAAGTTCGTAGAGCAATTTGTGGTGGATTTTTCCGTCATGCAGCAAAAAAAGATCCCCAAGAAGGTTACAAGACATTAGTTGAAGGAACTCCGGTGTATATACATCCTTCCAGTGCATTATTTAATAAGGGCCCAGAATGGTAAGCAGTTATTATCCTTATTTATTTTAATTTTCGAAGAATTCACAAATTAATAATTTATTTTTATTAATTAGGGTTATATATCACGAACTAGTGATGACAACTAAAGAATATATGAGAGAAATCACTGCTATTGAACCCAAGTGGCTCACTGAAGCTGCACCTACGTTCTTCAAGGTTGCTGATGCAAATACAATCAGTAAACGCAAACGAGGTGAAAAGATCCAACCATTATACAACAAATACGAGAAACCAAATGAATGGAGATTAAGTCGTGTTAAAAGACATCAAAGAGTTTCGCAAACATTCGGTTAAGTTTTATGGTTGCAACCCAATCCTTTTTTTTAAAATTGCAGCATACCACTTAGTTTGGAAATCGGCATTTCTACTTATTTGGGTTCATGTACCCAAGCCATCTAAGTATATAATATAATAAATTTTTAGTTGATACTTTTTATCGCGAGCTTTGCTGATTCCAGCTTACTCAATGTACTGAGCATTATTTAAAGTCCAATGTACCACGGTTTATCTTGTAAGTACTCGGCGTACCGTGCCTGATATGGAAGCCCCAATTTTTCTTTCCTAGTTTTGATTGGACATAAAATCCGGTCTCTAATTAGATTAACTATATCATGTCACCTTTACATTGCAACAAATATGCAAAACAAATCAATTTGTTTATTAGTTATCGGACATGATGTTTAACAGTTAAATTAGTTGTATTTTAATTTTTATGTAAAATTTGTAAAAAAAAATTATTTAATAAATATAAATTTTAAATTTATAATTTTTGTTAGAATGTTATCATTTTGCGCAGGTGAATTGTAACGCACCTCTACCTCTTTTAACGTAAAATCAAAAGCTGTTCGGGTAGAGCTTTAGCAAAAGATCTTAACCCAAATTTGACGAAGAACACTATTTCACTGGTCAGAAAAGTAACAATATATATTCATAAATTTAAATGTTTCTAAATATCAATTATATATAAATATTTCAAATTTGGTTTAAAATAATCTAAAGCAAGCCAAACAATCTCTTTATTTAATATAAAACAAGCCTATTCAAATTTAACCCTTTTTTTTAAACCTACGTTTAAATTTTATTTTTAGTTAAATTTATTAATTTAATAAAAAAAACTCCAATAAATTAAACAAATTAAAAAATAAACCGACATACATACCTACAAAATTTGGAACCACATAAACATTTAAACTCCGGATTTTGATTTTGAATTCTATAATCTAAAGTTAATTCTGTATTTTTAGAAATATCTCTTTGTGCAAAAAACCCAATTCTTTGAAATCTCATATCTTTAGTTTCTACAAAAAACTTTAAAAAAAATCAATAAAGTATATCAAACAATAATACAATAATAGCTAATAAATAAAAATTATATTTACAGGAATGGTTACAAGATTTGCATCACAAGAATGATTCATAAATCTTGATATATTACACCAGTAGTTTGAGTCTAGACTATTAACACCAATATTAAAGCTAAATTTTCATTAATGAATATATAGTCACACATTTTAAAACAACATACCAAAGAACCTTTGATCCTCTTTCACTATCAAAACCATAATCCAAATCAAAATAAGCCATCATGTTTAACTTGTCATAACATATGGATCTTAACATAGAAGTTCTTGAATTTATAATTTCTCCAACATGTTCTGTTACAAAAGAACCTTCTTTTATTGGTTTCAAAGTTCTTACACCCCACCCTCTATTTGAAGTTTTAAATATCTAAAAAACAAATTTTAAATTAAAACTCTTTACATTCATTAATTTAATTATTAATATAAATTTAAATGCAAACCACTAAATAAAGCATACCTGTAAATTTTTATCATTCCTGTTATTATTTTGAATATTTCTATTAGGACAAGTATAATCACAACCACAAAAAGAGTTACATTCATAAATGGCACCAATATCAGATCTAATTAATTTGCCATTTTTGAATGGATATCCAGCTAATATTAATAATTCAAATAATAAAAAATAAGCAAATAATTAAAAAATTGGAATTATTAAATAAAATAAAGATCTAAAATTTAATGTTTTACCTTCACAATGTTGTATACATGAACACGCTTCAAGGTCCTAAAAGGAATTTGGAACAAATTTAAATCAAAAGTTGGATAGTCTAAAGACAACGACAAATTGATCAATCCTACTCGACAATTATTTCGACAAGTACACCCATAACTAAATTCTTTGGCAGGATCCTTTACACCCCAATGCTTAAAATTTTCAGTTGTAAACTGTGTAATAAAAGAAAATGAGAAAAAAATCTAATAATTTGATGATCTGAAAGCAATTATTTTTTGCACACCTCCAAATAAGGTATCTTATCATCGTCGACATCGTTATATACACTATAAGGTAATAAGTCTTTTTGAGGTGGTTTAATATCAGTATTCCATAGCTCTTCGAGCCTTGAATCCCAAGGATCAATCTTATTTTCAATTTGAGTTAACCCATCAAAAGCTTCTTTTATACATGCAGGGATTATCTTGTTATTAGGAAGACCCGTTCCTGATAAATCTAAAGTTACATTCTGTTGAGAAGAATGAGATTTATTTACAACTTCCTATAACAATATAGTTGTATTATTAACTAAAAAAAATATAGCGGTTTTAAATAATAACAATTAAACATACAGCTACTGTATCCCAAATAGTTTTTACATATTTCGGAGGTCTAAAAATTATTATACCCTATAAAATGTTAATTTGATGAATAATCATTGAAAGTCACATACATATTAAGGATGGTAAAAAGCAATTTAATATACGTACAATAGCTTGAATTAGTTCATAACTAAAGCTGTATTCTGTAACATAACTTGATATTAATGAAATTTCTCTATTAATCAAATCCGTTGTTATTTCTCGAGTGTGTTTTATGTTTCTAAGTGTTGATCTACATTAATGTTCAAAAAATTATATAAATTAAGAATACAGCAGCAAACTTCATTAACCTACTTCATAACCTCACGATGTTGTGCCCATTCCAGTGAAATAAAATCAGAATTTAGTTTTTCGTTCAAAGCTTGTGATAAATGTATAATCGCTTCAAGATTTTTCAGCCATAAATAAACCATTCGTGGATTAAAGTATTGCTCGAGCGCTGTAGTTGCCTCCGAAGCAGCTTGCTTCGAGGGTATGATCGAGCGGCTGGAATGCGGTGAGGAATAACGAGTACTAGAATCAGTCAACATTTTTTGATCATAACAAAGTCCGCGTGGAGATCTTTTTTTGAGTTAGATAATCTGAAAATCAGCACAGGAGACACGTAAATTTTGTATAACCAGCCAATCAATTGTAAAATTTGATTTCCCGACGAAAACGGCTATCTAAACCTACTTCGGGAATTTTTACAGAGCAATCCCAAAAATTCCTGGTCGGATTTAGGTCGGCATTTAGCCCTAATGTTAGTAGTAATGATGCAGACATTTAAATCTTGAGGGTAACTACCTCGGCAAAAAAATTACGGCGATACGGCACATTTGCCGTAGAAGTAGGAGTGTCGCATGCCGTATAAATGCCGTAAGTAGTATAAATGCCGTATGCCGTATAAATAACCACAAAAGTAGAGCTTTGACCCGGGTCAAACAGAAATTCATAAAATTTTTAAAGTTACCACAATTCCTGGAACACCTGATAAAAATTGGCCGAAAGATTTTCAACCGATTCGATTAAGTTTGTAATTTTCAACATGATCCACCTATTTTGCATCATAATGAACAAAATATTTGCATTAATTGATTTAATTTGAGCCTTCATATAGTCTTGAGATAATTACGTATATACTGTAAATCTTTTATCATTATTGAATCTATTATGCCGAAATCACAACTTAATCGAACCGGCTAAAAATTCATTCGGCCAATTTTTATCAGTGTTCCAGGAATTATGAAAACAGCTGTAATTAACAATTTTTAATTAGAGCTCGCTTATAATACTGCGCCAGCGGCATGCACTTGCACCAATTGCACCAACCACCCTATTTGTAGTTATTTGCCGAAATTATAAATCCTAGGACACCTGATAAAAATTAGCCGAATGATTTTTCGGCTGATCCGGTTAAGTTATTGATCTCAGCATGGTATATAAATAATATATACCGTGTGTTTAGTTTGCGCGAAAGTTTATGGAAAAGGCTGTTCTTGTCAACCAATAAATCTTGTCAAGAAATATAAAAAAAAGTTCAGGTACCGGTATTTTTTTTGTTAGAAGTGTAAAAAAGTCGTCCTATGACATCTAATATTGATTTCTCAAAAGTTGATTGGCCAGAGAAATTTTTTGGGTATACATTACTTACGGCTAGTGTTCTGAGTTGATTAAAATTTTTCCAATCGATTAGTTGTTGCAACTAATAGTCACATGTTTTCAATAAATTTGATTGGGTACAATAAATAATCACGTGTTTTCTGAATTATTTTAAACCACTCTGATTGGCTAAAAAATTCTATGTCTTAAATTTATTATGTAGATAATCAGCCAACGATCAGTTGAAAAGTTGTCAACTAAGCGATTTTTCAACTTACGATTTGGATCACTACTTATGGCACACTACCTCACTTATGGCACCTACCTCATGGCAATAGCCTCAGGGTAGTACGACCTCTATGTCATAGCCATAATGCCATAAGTAGTTACTACTTTGAGAAATGTCTGCATTATTAGTTAGTAGATTCTATAGCAAAATTATTAGCTGGGCTAGTAGTGATTTTGGGCAAAATCGATTATTTCCAGCCCTGCCAACCAGGATTCCAATGCATTCTGACCAGGAATTTTGGGAATCTTCCTGTATGAGTTTACTTCGGGTACTAATTATCTACTGTATATTTTGGTTCAGGAATCAGAAAATATGATTTTACTTATAGATCCCCAAATTTTCGGGTCAGGATGGCCAGAATGCATCGGGTTAGAGTTAGCCATACTGGTTATTTTTTACAGAAAGATCCCAAATTTCTGGGTCAGAATGACCAGGAATGTATCGGGGTTAGGGTCGGGTTAGGGTTAGCTATATTTTTCACAGTATGCACATGTGCGTGCACTGTGTGGGTCCAATCAAATTTTGAAATAAAGCAATATGATTGAATCCGCACAGTGTGCACACATGCACACATTGTGAAAAAAAAAAGATAATTCATTAATAAGAAAACTAAATTCTAAAAAAAAAATTCAGAAATACCATGATCCTATAAATATATCATTCCAAATATAATAATCTTGAATAATAGTATTAGCAGTAAGGTTCTGCAATTTGATTTGATTTGATTTGATCAAATATTTGATCTTAAATACAGAAATTTCAAACCAAACCAAATTCAAATTGACAAAATATTCGATTAGATTTGAAAATACTTAATAAAAATTACAAATAAATTTGATTTGATTTGAATTTTTTTTATTTTTTTTTTTAATTCTTTAACAGTCTTGTCGGTGCTCAAATACAAATTATATTACTATTAGACTACAAAACAAAGTTTCAAATTCTAATAATATCT